TACTTTATGAAGACTTTGAGGTTTTGTTGGGAGCTGGAGGAGAGTAGTGAATGTTACCTGTCACTGAGGGGAGAAAAGGACCAACTGAGGTCAAGGTAAAACATTTGTGATTGGTATTGAGGACGTACAGGGGCAGGGGACCATGAACCTGTAGCGGGTACAAAGAAAATCATGGTAGAATGATATTTTCAATCATGCTTACCAACCAGGTATGAGAAGGAATAAGGCAAATTGTGAAATAGATCCAGGATTGGGATTCTGCCACATAAATGGAGAAAAGGAATAGAGGTGCTCCCTGGCTGGTGTAGATCAGTGGATTGAACACTGGCTTGCAAAATGAGAGGCTGCCGATTCAGTTCCCTGTCAGGGCACATGCCTGGGTTGCTGGGCAAGTCCCCAGTTGGGGACATGCAAGACACAGCAAATTGGTGTTTCTCTCACATGTTGATGTTTCTCTTCCTCTCTTTCTCCCTTCCCTCCCCTCTCTCTAAAAATAAGAAAATACAATTTTGTTAAAAAAAGAATAGAGGTGCAGAAATGGTTGGCCATTGAGGATAGCAAATAGGAAAACTAGGTCAGCTGGGGGCTGAATGACTACAAGGAAAACAAGTGCTCAAAGGTATTTGAAGAATGTGAGATGGGTGGGAGTGAGGGTGAGAGAGAGCTAAAAGCTAAGAGGCTCAGATTCAGAGAGTTGAAAGTTTCTGGTACAGAATAATTGAGAGTGTGGACAGAACCTAAGATTGACCATGACCACAGGGAACTCAAGTGAAACAGAGGTGAAGAGTATTTGAATTGAGGTGATGAAGAATGCACAAAGATAGAATATTAAACTACTCACTTCCATGGACATTGAAGTTGTCCAGAATTAATTCTAGAAATAGGGCAGCAAAGAACTGAGACCCAGGTGCCGAGTATTTAGTGAGTGACTATGAAGGAATGATCAGAAAATTGGTGGATGTCATAATTGGAGAGTATGAAGTCTAAGGAGGTTCCTTATCTGTAATAATAATGTTGGGGTTGGACCAGATGACTGAGCCATAAGAAACTTTAACTCTAAGATCATACAAGTGTGTTGCAGAGCATTTGAGTTCTTTATTTTAAGTAATAAAGTAGATCATAGAATGCTAAAAATACAGGAGGCCTTTAGAGTTCACTTAGACTTTCTTATTTTGTAGACAAAGAAGCAGGCTTTTAGTGGTTTAGTCACTTGCTCAAAGACACAGAGCTATTAAGTGGCATAGTCATGATAGGGCCTTGGTCCCTGGCTAAATGATGGCTCAATGTGATTTCTACTCTACCATGTTGCTTTTAAGTTTTCCCTTGTGTTTCTCAGCAGCATGCATTGTTATTCAAATCCGCTGTGGTATATTTGCATTAGCTCATGGCACAAGGTAATGAATCCCCGTTGTACCCTAAATTATTATTATTAATGGGTTCTTATCATGTGCTAATTTTTTGCTCATGGATGGACTGGAAATAACCTGGTATCAATGGCAATTTTGATAGATTTATGTTATATATGTGTATATGAATGTATCTTCCTATTCATTCCATAACCTATATAATAGATTCTATATTCATAGCCTATATTCATATAGAATAGCTAGCTAGATAGGGAGAGAGAGAGAGAGAGGCAGAGACAAAGGCATTTAGAACCTTGACTATTTCATCCAGTCCTCTCATAAGGATCTCTGGAAAATGTGTAGGTATGGAGGACAATGTCATGCAAAGGGACACTGTGTTAGTATATGGGGTGGGATTTCAGCTGCAAACCTCAGTGCAGATAATAGTATTAACTGAATCAAGTTGTTGTGAGAGTTAAGTTACATATATATACATATAAACACACACACACACACACATATATAACCATATAAATCAGGACTGCCCGGAAGAAGTCCAACCATTGTTAATATGAGAACAATTTGCACAACATCGATATAACCTGGCAGCCAAGGAGAGTGGAGTGGAACGCGCATGTGTGAACGATGATGAGTTCACCATCAGTGGGGACAGTAGACACCATTGAGTGAGCATGTGTACTGTGTGGCCATCACATTCAAAAGGACTGAGCAAGTCGGGCAATGAATCTGCATCCAATTTTGCGTTAAGCTTGAACATTCCTCCATGGAAACTATTTGGATGATTAGAAAGTCGCAGCTGTGGACAACTGGTGATTGGCAGCTTCGTCCCAACAACACACCTACTCACGCATCACATCTCATGCAGTTTTTTGGTGAAATATCATGCAGGTGACTCAGCACCACTGCAGCCCAGATTTGGTGCCCTGTGACTTCTGGCTTTCCCCAAAACTAAAATGACCTTTGAAAGGGAAGATATTTCAAACCATCAGTGAGATTCAGGTAAATACGATAGGGCAGCTGATAGTGACTGGGAGGACTGTGTGAGGTTCCAAGGTGTCTACTTTGAAGGAGATTGAGACATTATTGTCCTATGTACAATGTTTCTTGGATCTTGTATCTTCTTCAATAAATGTCTCTATTTTTCATATCGCATGGCTCAGTACCTTCTGGACAGGGGTGGGCAAAAGTAGGATTACAGTTGTCAGTACACAAAATATAGTTTACCCCTTGTATTATATATTTTTCCATACTGACAACAATAAACCTACTTTTACATATATAAGCATACGTGTGTGTATGCACTTAGAAGAGTACCTGCTATTCTAAGTACTCAATAAGTATTAGCCATAATTATCAAATGATCATAATAATTATTGTTAGTTGGTTCTTCTAGATCTTAGGCAAGTGATCTTGCCCAGCTCCCCTAGTAATCTTCATTAATGTCTCTTGCTCATATGGCTACTTCCCAATGTTCTCCAATGCAGGCCCTGCAGGGGCAATGGCTTATGTGTTCCATTTAGACCACAGCCCACAGGGCTATGCAAGGTTACAAGGTTAGGTAGCAAGAATTCCTTGTCTCTCCTTCTCTAAGCACCCACATGCAGAATTTTTTGCTTTTCTGTAGTTCCAAATCACCTTTCATGTTCAATCAGAAGTTCAACTCACAATGGAGACCCCTCTACTGCCACATAAATATGGGATATTATATTTATGAAATGAGCTTTGAGGGCCAAATCTGAAAATAAGTTTTTATGTGAAACAAAGAAAGCTGTCATATATGGAATCTAATGAACAAAATGAGCTAACAAGCAAAATAGAAACAGATTCATAAGTAGAGAGCAGGTTGACAGCTGTTGGCGGGTGCTGGGTCGGGGAGTGAGGAGGGACTGAGCAAAAAAGAAAAAACTCATGGACATGAACAACAGTGTCGTGATTGCCAGGGGAGGGAGTGGTGAGAGGTATAGGGGGAAATGGGGGGAAAAATGGTGATGAGCAAAGACTTGACTTGGGCTGGTAAACAGACAATACAGTGTACAGATGATGTGTTGTAGAATTGTGAACCCAAAACCTGTATAATTTTGTTAACCAGTATCACCCCAATAAATTCAATAAAAAGGATAAAAAGAAGACTAATTTGGGGGCATATAATATCCCTTGAAATCTCCCATTCTACCTGCCTTTCTTCCCTGCTCCCTGTTTCCACGTTAGAATATAAGCAACCCTTGGTTTATCTCATTTCCTAGTTGTGTGAAATTCTTAGCGCAAATTAAGCAAATGTAGTGTCTACATTTTACTGTCTTAGTGGAAATTATACAAGTGTAGTTTTCTCTTGGGATTCAGAGGCCACTTTGCTGAAAAGTCATTAACATTGTGTAGTATGTAGAATTTTATAAGATCTCATATCTTATGTTTATCCTTTATAAAGCAAGTAGGAAGAATTTGGTGCTTATCGTTACTGGTGTATTTATCTGTTTTATGGATTAACAGTTGTAAAATCTTACTTCCATTTCTCACCCACTCTTGTGAATGTAGTTATATAAAATTACAATTCTCTTGTAGGCACAATTTTTTAAGTAGATGCATCCTAAAATAACAAGGAAACATTAACACACACACACACACACACACACACACACACACACACACTCTTTTCATTCCAGCAGCTGAATCCTCTGTAGACATCTATTCTGTGAACAAGTTATAATTTCCTGGCTAATACATGATTTCTTACCATTTTTGACCAAAATCACTCATTACCTGTTCTGCCGTGTCTCGAGACCTGAGGAAAACACACACACACACACACACACACACACACACACAGGGCGGAGGAATAAGACAAATCAGAGGACCTATAGGAGAGTCACTGGCCCCAAAGACAAACATAAGCTCTTTGCTTCATAGTTTTAATAACTCTTAGATAAATGGATTCTTCACGGTGGCAAATGGATGGTTAGTTAATGTGACAACTTCCCCATACATTCTGGGGTATCACATGGAAGTGGATTCCTTTGATGGTATCATGTCTTGTAGGAAACACAGTTGCAATTATAGAAGCCTGGAAAAACAATATAGATTTTTGCTGGAGCCCATGAATTCTACCCAGCTCCCCATAGTACCCGTGATACCCCAACAATGCTGTTTTCCTCTCCCAGCTTTGTCCTTTAGCCTGTGCCTTGCTGCTCTGTGTCCCAGGTCAAGGGGAACATCAGAACCACAGCTCCCACTGCTGACTGCTTCTGGCCTCTGTAACGAGGTCTGGAAAACCTGCCAGCTCTGTGGCCACCCCTCACCCCTACCCGAGTCAAGATATAGTTGCTTCTCTCACCCCCACTGTTTTTCTTTTGTGACACTCAGATGAAGTGTTTCTAGTGAATAAAATTCTTCATTACATGTGAAAAAATATCGACAATTTTCAAAGAATTTACTTCCATAAGGGGATTCATTTTATCTTTAAGAGAAATTCCTCTTGACTGAGAGAATCCTTTTTGTTAGTTTATGTGGTTTATCCTGTCTATTGTCGCCTGTGGGAACTCATGAGATTTAGTGGACCTGAGATGGCTTGGGATGGGATGAACCACTGTGATGGTGTTCATGGCCGCTGTTTTACACTGAGCTGTTTTAAATGCTCAGGGAGAAGTGCTTCAAATAGCTGCCAACCAGTGCTGCCCTGAGTGTGTGTCGACAACTCAAGGATCTTGCCATCATGAAGAGAAAATCCGTGCGGTAAGTGTTTTCTGACCCGTGGTTGATTCTCTGTCTGTAGGTCATTGACAAGAGAAAGCTGAATGTTAACCTTGTATTCACAAGAGAGGTTGTTTTTCCTTTGGGCTGTGGAGGACTGGAAGCTCATTTGACTTTCCATGGGCATTTGGGTTTCTTGAATAAGATTAAATCCATCCTATTTATTCCGTAGGCTCTATGTAAATATTTGAAGATTGAATTTGTGTCTGTATAACGGGTAGTCTGAGAATGTTGATGTTGAAGAAGCTGTGATGCTAAATAATAAAAGTGCCGACTCGTCTTTGTAGACCTCATACAATTTTTTTATTTGATAGTAACAAAAAGCCCTGAGTGGGTGAGTAGAACAGATGTTATTATTCCTGTGCCCAATGTCATATTGCTAAGTGGTATAACCTGGCCTAGAACCCTGGTCTTGTGACTCCGGCCTGCTAAGGGAAAGAGCCCTTAGAGTTTCTGAACTTGAGGACTGTTGACATTTTAAGGTTTGTTGTGGGGGCTGTCCTATGTATTGTAAGAAATTCAGCAACATCCCTGGCCTCTTCCCACTAGATGCTTGTAGCACACCCGCCCCCCGCCCCCCGCCCCCGCCATGACCAGAAATGTCCGCAGGCATGGCCAAAGAGTCAAAATGCTCAGCTCTCCCCATTTAGACTCACAGTATGAGAAACTGATCCTAAAGTTCTTTATACTTTCTCATTTCACATCCTTTAGGATTAATCTTGAGATATTAAATACAGACTGCAAAGTGCTACTGCAAGGTTTGTAATAGAAGTTATGAAAATAGAATGGATACAGTTTGCCTTTATGCAAAATACCTAGATGTTACCTGGAAGCAGCAGGTGAGGTTGACTTTGATGGAAAGTGGCTCTGCTTTAATCCTCAGCTTCCACCTGATTCCAAACGTGCTCCAAGTTAGTGTCTCTGTCCATTCAGGGGAGAGCATAGGTTAGCAGGATTTGATAATATCCACTCTCAGCAGCTATTCAGTGTGTGTACCTAAAACTCAGTGAATACAATGCACTTTCCCCGTGGGGCAGGATCATCTCACTTGAGCCACTGTCTCCTAATTACCTGAGGAAGCCACTCTTTCACTTCTGCACAATGTGTTGCTGAAAGGCACCCCAGCAGGATCTATGTTGGGAATGTTTTCATACCACGTATCACCCTGTGCTTTTCAATTCAGTCTGTGTTATGTTGGGTGATGTAAGCTTTAAAGGCAGAAGAGGATCCCCCATGAAACGGAAGGTGCGGCAGGGCAGATTGGTGATGGAAGTAATGCCGGTTCATGCTGATTGGAATAGATGTGTGGTTCAAGGTCAAAAACAGCAAGCTGGATCATTCAAGTGAAGGAGCACATAGGATCAACATAAGATGAGGATCTGGAGAAAATCAGAGATTAATAAACCTTTGCATGGGCCGCTTATCATTTGTGCACATGTGCAATCTTTCTATCTGGATTTAACAGGCCTGAGAACACTGACATTTTCTCTATTTTAAGAGTGATCTTCCTTGCTTCCCACCTAACCTGGGCTTAGCATTGAACTTTTTCCAGAGTAAGGTGCTCAGAAACATCGGCGACTACAGGACACAAAATAAGCATAGATCCCCTTTTTCCGACTTATTCATGTACTTGTCCCACAGGCATATTAGTCATTGAGCAAGTGCCTGTGGGGTTGGGCAGTTCTAGGACCACAGATCGGCCGACGGGTCAGTTAGAAATTGGCCTCCTTCTTCTGGGATAGTTCAGGAAGCCTCCCTTCTGCCCGCCTCCCCTGCACTCCACCCTTTCTGCTGTAATGCATCACGTGCACAGCTCTAAACTGGGTAAGGACATATCCATGCATCGTTTTCCCATATGCAACTTCCAAAATACACTCCCTCAGAAAACGTTATAATTATATTTCTGGTACTTGATGTAACCAAGAAAAGACCTGAGTTTAAGGGACTACAATTTCAAAGAAAAAAATCTATAGTGGTCTAGTTCTTCAAATAGAGATAGAAAAATGATTTATTTTTAAGTCAAGATAAACATCTTCTCATTTTAGTCTTAATAAAGTTAAAATGCTCATGTGCCTACTCTTCCTGTTCTTCCATAACTCTCTTTTTCATTTCTTCATCTAGATTCTCGCCAAATCCTTAATATTAATTATTTTCTTGAATGGGTTAAATGCTTATCTGTGTTTGCTCTGTGTCTCATCTGTCACTTGTATCACAGGCTTTCTTCCTGAATCTTGGAGCCCCTTAAAAAAAAATTCTGTTCTGCCCTTCCAGCTTGCTTGGGGCGCCATTTCCAGAGCACAGTAATCCCCTCTCGCCTCTGGCTTGCATCCCATAGGGCAGGTGATGGAGACTCTCTCCCTGTAGGTATAAAACAGGAACTTTGGAACCGATCTGAAGTGACAGCTTTCCCCTGAGAGAGATTTAGAAGAGGCTTTAGGATAGAGAGAGTGTGGCAGAAGGGGCAGCCGTCAGAATGTGCCCAGAGGAGAGGGTTGAAACAAAGGAAGTGGAGGACGGGAGGGCTTGGGGCAGCAGGAGGCAACCACGCCCTAAGGAAGCAGCTGAGCTTCCCAGCAGGATTGCCTTTCCTGCGGGGCCGGCAACATCTTACACAACGGGCATCCCAGCAAGTTCAGGGCAAGCCCAACATTTTCCCTGGAGAAAGGAGAATGCTGGAGGCTTTCGGTTGACTACAGGTTATTTGACAGTTTATCGTGGGCTTATCACAGCCGGCATTTGGGGGACTGTTTCATCCATGATGTCCCCAAAGCTATCCTCTCAAATGAACATTTGGACCTCTGCCCAGTCTCGCCAACCAGACACGGAGACAAGCCTGAAATATGTTTTCCTAAAGAGTATTGAATGCTTTCCTCTGCTCTTCTCCCCACAAATTAGCTTGTGAAAGGGAGGGGAAAGGACCATTAATCCCCTTTCTTTTCCTCTGCACTAATTTAATACCAGCACCAGATAATGTCATGTCTGAGAAGGTAATGCCTGAAGATTCACTAAAAAAAGGAAGTGGCAGGTAGTAACACCCTGGTGCCCGCATCTAATTGAATAGGGGAACGTGGAGGGAGAGGTCTGCTCGCTTTGCTTGTCTATGAGGCTAAAAGGAGAACTAATTTGTGTGCGTGGGGAAAGAAATGAATATTGAATTCTGCAGCCTTGTCCCCTCAACCTAGAGGGTGTAATTATAATATGCACGGAACATTCCCTGATATTTAGTATTCTACCTCTATAACTTCATCCCAGGAACAAATTATATGAAGAAAAATTATTTTGTTGTTCTGTCACTAAGCCAGGCAAATACTTTATGATCTTATCTTTCCTTTGGACTTATGTCAACAGCCAAACCAACTCGTTAGTGGCTGTGCAGGAGAATATATTTAAGAGTTGTCTGCAGAATGCACTTTTCGCCCAGTCTCAAAAGCCCATATTTTCTGAAAGTATTAATGAGGTTCTGATGGCACATCTAAACCTGGGTCTTGTGGGAGTGTTGCATTGTGTAGCTATTATGCCTTGATTTTACAAAGCTCTCTTTGCTGCTACAGTGTTTTTAAAAAGTCAGGCTTTTGTCAATATGTATATAGAGCACTGACACTTTATACAGAATATATTAGCATCTTCTGAACCCCTTGATCTCTAGTTTTCCTTTGGTGAGAGAAGTGTCACTGTCTTAAAGATAGGAAGGAGAGATGAAAAGGAGGGGATTTATGTGACTTTTCCCTGAGTTAGAGGGGGGAGCGATTCCTTTGCTCCGCACTTTGGGTCAGTCACCATCTGGTGCTTATCCTGTGGCTTTGACATCAAGCGGTGCCATCTTCCTGCTGAATGTTCTGTTATTCCCATAATTCTCCTGCTTATCGTGAAGGGAGAATCCTCTGATTAATTTTATGTCTCTTGGGTAAGATAATAAATTTACATCATTAGAGAGTTTGAAGCTGCTGAAGAGATTAGCTAACACAGCCCTCTCATTTTACAGATGAAATTATTTTGGTGATTGACAGATTGTTCTTATAATTAATTTTGTGGTCTCTGTCTGAAAGGTGATGTGATTGCAAATGTTTAAGAAATGACAGTTAGTGATTCTGAGTAGTAAAAAGAAAACAAGCTCTTGTTTTAATGAAGTGAAATGTCTAGATGTTTAGAAGCAATCTCCTAATTTGTAATATGATAAAGATGTTCACTTCAAGCTGTTTTATATATTCAAATTTTACTTTATTTAAGATATATAAATGATTTATCAGATATTTTAAACAGTAATTTGCTCTCTGATGACAAAATTAAAAATATGTTTATTGATGAAAATTTGGAAAATAGGGAAATATACAAAAGCAGGGGGAAAAAATCTACTAGTAATCCCCAAACTCTAAAAACCACTCTTACTGATCTTTCAGATTCTTGGGGAGGGGTGGCAGTGGACAGGGGCAGATACACAGATAGATGGATAGAGACATATGTTTTTACATAGTTGGAATTATATTGTCTATGTAGTTTATAACTTGCTTTTTAAATATAGTATGTTGTAAATAGTTCCCTAGCATACTCTTGGAGAACATGATTTCCTATTATTAGGCATTTGGGTAGCTTCCAGTTTTCACTGAAATGTTTCTAATTTTGCTATCAAGAACAGTGAAATGGAATTTCTTGTATTTAAACTTTTTTGTGTATCATCGACAATTTTCTTCATATAACTTCTTAAAAATCAAGTTAGTAGGTCAAAGCATCAAAAGATTTTGAGTATTGAAGCTGTGACATCTATGGTAGTTATTAAATCAATTTGAAGTTGTCTGTGTCTAATGATAAACCCGGCTGGGATATCACAGAGAGTGCAGGCCCCCCGGCTGAGTTAGTTTAGGGACTGTAGTGAGGAAGGCTCTGTGTAGGAGAGTCTCCCTGGCGCCTTCACCGACACTAACTGCTGTGCATTTTAACTCTTCCCATACCTACTTTTAAATAATAATATCTATTTTTTATTTTAATTAATATTTCTTCTCAATTTAGAAAGTTGAATATTCTATAAGCTTACTGCCATTTTTTCCATTGAGATTTTTATTGCTTGTCACTGTGTTTACATGTCCAAGTTTCATTCTAGTTAATATAATTTGAAATCTTTAAATCAGTTTGTCACTTGCCTTTTATTTTTGCTTATAGTGTATTTTTGACAGACTTTTAAAATTTTAACTTATCGGAACCTACCACTTTTTCTCTTATAATTTCTTCCTTTGCTTTTTGCTTAGGCCTTTCCAAGTGTAAAGGTCAGCTGCCTCCTATTGGCAAGTTGTCGGCTTGCCCATGATATGCTCTGCTAAATTTGAAATGTTTGTATTTAATTATTGCAGAAGTAAAAGTCAATGGGAGAGGACTTGGGAGTGCATGTCCATTCCTAAATCACAGTTGGCACATAGGTGTGGAAAAGGGGAGGAAGACCATGAACTCCTGAAGTAGAAATTGGGGAGAGAATTGAGCCCCATCTACCTGCCACCTTCCCTTGCTGGCTCTTTAATAAGCTACCTCAAAGCCGCGATTTAGAAAGAGTAAGTCACTAACCCATAGTCTGCAAGGCAGGCAGGGCCGAGGTGGGATCCAAGAATGAGCAGGCATCCAAGAGAGTCCTTGGTTCATCTGACTCAGCACATTACTTGAATCACTGCCTCCTTGTGCTCCCAGTAAGTCCACCTAGAGGAAAGTCATCTTTATGACAGTAAGGTGAGGGCTTGGTTCCCAAATAATTAAAGGGCTGTGACTGCCTATTATTATCGCTGCTACCACAGTAACACTGGTTATTAGTAATTCCAAAATGACGGATTTGGAGTGCTTGCAATCAGGCAGCAACTTGCAGAATAGAGTTACTGACTTGTTTAGGTAAGACAGAGTTCTTTTGTATTTGAGGGAGATGAATAATTAATCATTCTGAATGCTGGCTTGTGGAGAAGCAAGAGGACTTTATTTTCTGTGCTTCTCAGTGACACGATTGTAATCCCCAGATTATATTAGGTGATTATATTAGGTGATCAGACCTGTAATGTGTGATGTTTTCAATAGAAGTCTGTAGTGATTTGTACTGAATCAGATATCATCATATCCTACATTTAACAGAGGCAAAGAGAAAAGGTACCAATATTTAACAAAATGTTGTACAGGAGGAAAACTTTATTCATTAAGCTAATTTTTCCCTATATCTTGTAAAAGGCCACCACTTTTCCATTCTGCCACTGAGAACATATTTTGACAGCTGCTTCCCTAAGCAGTCAACACATTTGTAGCTTTTTACATTTAAGGTTCACCTCCTCTTACTCTGCATCACATATGAGAGTGGCTCATTTAGATACTTTTGGTCCTCAGTAAATCATACAATAACTCAAAACAAAGCTCTGTTAGACCAATGATACAACGTTAGCTTTGGGAGCCTTGTATCCCAGTTTAAAATGGATTAGGAACATTCTCCTGGTATAGATGGGCAGTCTCCCAGGAAATGAATGGGTTGGATCTGCAGTTTGTGTGAGAACTGGGTGGAGCAGGTGCCTCCGGCTGGCTGTCCCACTTTCCCCAGGACCGAGAGATAGTTGGAACGGAGGAAGGAGTGGATGGGGAGGGAGGGAGGGAGGGCTGCTGGGTGGAGGGAGAGAAAGAATATGAATAAATGGGGCAACTAATTGAGGTGAAGAAAGAAAGAAAGGAAGAAAGAAAAAAGGAAGAAAGAGAAAGAAAGAGGGAGGGAGGACAAAAAGAAAGAAAAAAAAGGAACCAGAGTGAGAACTATTGAAAATAATAAGACCATAATAAAAATAGGTAGATGTATGTGTATGTGTGCGCATTTCACTCTGGGCTTTACAAGATTTTTTAAATGATAGGATCAGAGTAATTTTATTTTCTTTTGGTGCTTTTCTGAAATTTTCAAATCTTAATCTTAGGGTAATAAAAAAATAAAAGTCAGTTTTTAGACTTGGAACATTGCAAACCCTGGTTTTAGTCCTGCAGGCCTAGAGCCTTCTTCCATCTTCCCTGAGCTCCATCCATCATTTAAGAAGGTTGGTTTGTGTTTGGCCAGATGAAAGCCTATTTTCTGACAATAACCTTCTTTTTTTTTTCTTTTCCCTAACACCCAGCATGGGACCGAGTGGGCGTCTTCCCAGTGTAGCGTGTGCTCCTGCGCTCAGGGGGAAGTCCGATGTGCCCCCCAACCATGCCCACCCCTGTTGTGTGGACACCAGGAGCTGGAATTCATCCCCGAAGGAAGCTGCTGCCCCATCTGCGTGGGCACTGGGAGTGAGTACAAGCTTGTAGAAAGAGACCCTCTTTGGCTCTGAGGTTCGCCTGGTGATATCCCAGCTCTTTTCTTTCATGTTCAATGTGGTTCAAAGATCCCCAACCACATTTCTCATTGGAACAAGATTTAGCCTTGCACTTGGCATGAAGGGATGTTGCAGAGAGTGAGGTTGGAAGAAATCTTTAAGCTCCATTCCAAACTTGGGATTCTGCAAGACTCTGATTTATCTGTTTTGCATTGGCCAGTGCATCCCTCTGCATTCATAGCTCCTGAGCAGGCAGGCAGGAGGGACAAGATCCTTTGATGTGATTCCACAAGGCCACCTCCTGCCTCTTGGCAGAGAGAAGAACAAACAAATCACTTCTGCATGTGGTATCACTGGCACTTACTCTGCCAGCTGGTCTTTGAGAAGACATAACACTTTCTCCAAGACACACAGAGCAGGAAGCAGGTGTTTCATTGGTCTTGACCACATCTTCACTGTGGAGATTACGCCTGCCTACAAACCAAGGCATGGTTCAGCAAGCCAGGGGCCCGCTCCCAGGCCCTCTCCTTGGAATTCACTCTTGGTCTAAGTGCCCTTTTATTACATTTACACATATGCACCCCCTTCCATTTTTATAACTAAGTAGTAGTATATACTTCACAATAAATATGAATTATTGTCATTGCTGCATTGTGTTCTCTCCTGGCATATAATAGCTAAAATTATTCTTTTACCTAATGGTATCTGGAAGCTACACTCTCTTTTTGCCTTTTACCTTTAAAAAGAGCCCCAGTTTCTTTTGGATCCACAGGTATTCCTTTATTGGCAATCTCTTACCTTGGACAACCATTCCAGGGGTTAAAAAGTATGTTAGGAAATGCTGGAAGTGGAATGCTGGCCTCACGCATTGCGGGTGTCACTCACCAGGAAAGAACTGACAGCTGCCTGAGGTCAAATAACCCAGCAAATAAAAATACTTGAACAACAGGGTTTAGGGGTGGAGTGGGGAGTGGGGAGTGGGCTGTCTGAGTTTGTGGGGTCCTTCCTTATGTTTTAGGAGGTTCCTCGCTGGCCCTCTGTGAGAAAGAGACATTGGAAGCATTTTTCCTGGAGAGACTGTAGCATCAGCCAGGGCCAACTCTACAACCCGCCAGGGCTGTGCAAAATGCACACATGCAGGACCCCTTGTGCAATAAGCCAGGGGGCAGGGGGATGTGTTCTTTTTCCTTCTGTGGTTTTTCTCAACCTGTCCTGTTTTGAATTTGATATTTAATATTATATTCCCTCAGGAATGGGGATACTTGCTGGGTGGGCAGAGATCTCCATGGGCTCCCTGGACCGCTCCCCTGCGCCCCCCACCCCTGCATGCCACTCGGTGCTTAGGTCCACGCACTCCCCTGGCACCACACCCACGTCCCAGCTGAAGTGGAGGGTGGCAGCATTCACTGGGCATGGGCTTGAGAACAGGAGGCTGAAAACCCATCCCAGAACGGCAAGGAAACGGGGCGGGGTGGGGCGTGGAGGTGGGACCACGCACCTGGCTGAAGCCTGGCAGCCCCAGTACAGGTACATTGTCTCATTGCCGGTCACTTACAAAAGGGGAGAATTGTTAAGAACTCGTTACAATGGCAGCAAAGCATTAACTCCTAAGAACGCCCCCGCTTCTTTGCCCTGGGCCGCGACCACAGACCTCTGCAGTCAGCCTGGGATCAGCAAGTCCAACCCCCCGACCCCCGGTAATTTTTATTTCTCTGACCTTCCAGAACCCTGTTCCTACGAAGGCCGCGTGTTTCAGGACGGGGAGGACTGGCCCTTGAGTCGGTGCGCCAAATGCGTGTGTAGAAATGGGGTCGCCCAGTGCTTCACAGCTCAGTGTCAGCCTCTGTTTTGTAAGCAGGTAAGGAAGACGGCTTCGGCGGCGTGGCTCCTTCTCAGCCTGTTAACTTTGCGGTGCAGGGACTTGGAATCCCTCCTGGGATTATCTGGCAGGCCTTGGAAATGTAGGAACAAGAAGCCAAGGCTCTTTTGTTCCCCTCCTCCTTTTGGAGACCACCACTGCGACATTTCTTTTACCCTGAGAAGCTGCAGTTAGGCCTAATTACCAGCCATTTAGGCTAATCACCAATAGGAAACTGAGCCTTGAGGGCCCTCAGAAAGACACGCTTCCTGCCCCAGTTGCAGATGTTTCAATAATGTCAAGCCCGACATCTGGAAAATTCAGTAATATTGATCAGGTTTGTTACTGTTTGCCAATGCAGAGGTGTACGGTGCTTTTTGAATACATATGCATGTCTTTAGATATGATTATTCATGTGTACACTATTTAATTCTTATAATGACTCAACTTGTCCAAGGATTTTCTCTGGACTGGTTTAAAATAGAGGGAGCTTATTGTTCATATAAAGCTGATCTGATTTTCTAAACATTAGGCTCTTCACACAAATTTTAAAAAGAAAATCAATTGCAAATAAATGTAGTATACATGATATTTTACAGTTTTTTTACTCTTCCAGAGACTCCTACAGTGGTTTCTTGGCAGTTGACAGATAACCACAGAAGGAGTTTGCCTCCAGTGAAAAAAATAGCTCATTTTTGATCTAAGAAAAAGCTGGAAGCCAACATTCAGTTGATACAGAGCAGCGCTTTGTGTCAAATAAACCAAAATCAATAACATGGCATATTGTGACAATTGGGCAATATTTTTCAAGGCAGACAAAATGCAATTAGACAAGAAATGCTAAATGCCAAATAAAAGGAAAATGTATCTAATTGAGAGACTAGATTGTATCACCCAGCTGCACCAGCCTTGCTCTTGTCACACTCCCCGTTCATCACAAAGTCTTGTCCTGGCTCTAAGGTTACAAATGAGCTTTTTGGTAGAGTTGCACAATGTCTTACATTCGGAGACACTGTAGGTAGTGTTGTGGTATTTTGATTTACACACCGCAGGGCTTAGCGCCCTCTTGAATGAACCGTGATTAAGCAGTTTCCCACCGTTATGATTAAGGAGGTGGGGGAAGGGATGGAAGAAACAACCTATTGTGACCCTTTTCTTTGAATCTTTAAAAACTTAATTGTGGACTGCATATTAGGGGGTCAGATATTAGAATAATCTAAAGTACTAGTTTCCATTTTTAGAAACAGTAAATATGAATTCTATGTTTAAATGTTAGCTTTCAAAACATAGTCTGCATTATTTAAAAAGATGGAATTTGGTACTGTACTTCAGAGCTAGTTAATATGCAAGCATTCTGGAGTCTTGGAAATAGGTTGATTTTAATCACTTGCATCATTAATGATATATTTTTGTCACGACATAATTTTCAAAAAAAGACCTGTCACATTATTTAGAACTATTTTTTAATATCAGTATTAAATATTGGATGTTCTTATGATTAAAGAAGTGCTGTAGAATTAGTGATTTTGATGGAAACGTTATCACTACTACTAATTATCATCACTGCATTTTGAGCATTTATTATGTACCAATCATTAACTATAAGGGCTTTAATAATTCTGATAACAGCCCTATGAAGTAGGTGTTATTATTATCATCCCATTTTATAGTAGATGAAACTGAGGTACAGAGAAGTAAGTATCTTGCTCAAGGTACTAGAGTCAGGAAGTGTCAGTGCTTCTTGCTCAGGCAGTTCTATATCCCCACCTGAACTGACCACACCCGACCTGCAATTTTAACCATTATGCTGTACTGCCTCACAAAATGATGGGATTCATAGCATTTATATAGAATAATAATCACAATAACAATAGTTGCTAACACCATTGAGCATAATTCTGAGTATTTTATATGTATTAACACATTGAATATTTTTTTAAAAAACACATGTTCATCAGAAGAAATGTATTTCTAGGTCTTGAGCTCTAGGAAAACTTGATTTTTAATATAAGGGCTTTTTAAAAAAATATGAAAGGAATTTGTTTTCATTAAGGAGAGTTTGGAAGAGGCAGAAAAGCAGAAAAGAAAATGATCATCCATATTTCCATCATTCAAAAGACCACAATAGAATTTTTTTGTAATCCACTTCAATTTTTTGGTAGGCAAATGTGGATACATTTGTTTGCTTGCATAGTTAGAACCACATTTTAGAAGTTGGTGATAATCCTTGATGAAAGGATAAATTTCTTATGTTCAAATAAAGAGCAGTTCTCTTAACGAGGGATGTAAATACTGAAATTGCTTGCTCTCAGCTGCTGTCCAGATGCCTTGTGAAAAGAGCTGTAAACCCATCCACATTTTTGTAGGCTCATTAAAATGGCCTCTTCTGCCTGATGAGAGTTGTCCCTGATAATGTTACCACCACTTTTTTTTTTTTAAATACTATAATTTTCCCATTCCCAGCGTTGATTAATCTGAGTAGGTTGAACTTCACCTTTGGATATTTTGTCTTCTGAGCCACTAGGTATTTGAGAACCATTTTCTAGTTTTCTGTATTTACGAAAGATACTTGGGGGGAAGTCTAAAATTTGGGATGATTATGTTCTCTTTCTATTTCAGCCCTATAATCTTCTTTCCATTGAATTCTAAAATTTAGTGCATGGAAGTCTGTTTTCTATTCCATTACATTCAGCTAGTTTCACTCTGTTGGACTCTTGCACAGTGTCTCTTTATCTTTGTAATTCAAATATTTTCCCCAGACATTTCTAGGTGAGGTATCTTTTCACATATTTTGCCTGGAATATTGTGAAGCCCTTTCAACTTATATTCCAGTTTTTGAAATGTTTTCTTCAGTTATAGCTTTGATTAATATTTGTTCCAGTTATTCTCATTTCTTCAGAAACACTTCTGATTCTTAGATTGCTTCCCTATCTTTCCCCTCGTTATCAATCATGTTCTCTCTCATCATTTTTCACTTTTTGTCTTTCCCTGGCATTATGGAGAGAGCCTCTTACGTTCGTGTTTACTACCTTCAGTACTGATTTTAACGTGAAGATTTCATATTAATTTTCTTTTGGTTCTTCCTTATTTCTCCTGTCATTGGTTCATCTGTTTTTTTTTATCCCAATGCTTATTCTTTCTTTATTGGTTTCTGCTTCAATTTTAATAAAGACTGCATTTTCTTATATCTTACTCAAGTTTCAAAATGGCTTTGAAATTTTTTCTTTTAGATCCTGTAGTCTGTAGTGTTAAGAAATCTGCCGTTCCTGTGAATCTTCAGAATGTTACTTCTTTCACTTGTTCTTCAGAGTTTCCCCCAAATTCCTTTCTTTCTGTTTGTTTATTCTTGATCAAGAGAAATCTACCCATAACCACTGCTTGAAGCTGCAAGGATAAGAGGCCTGCCCCTGGCTAATTCCCCTTCTGGGAGCCTTCAGCAGATGCTAAGGACTGTGTTCCGAGGGTCTGGCAAGCTTCATGTAGTGTAGCTCTATTGAACTGAGATCAAATCTTTTCCTAAACCCACTCCTCAACCTTCTTACATACTGAATACATGAAATAAAAACTATAGTCTCCAGTTTGAACTGCTGCAAGAGGTTCTTTCTATCTCTCTGAGTAGCTGTGTGCTTTACATTTGGGGTATCCCTCGCCCTCAACCCTACTTTTTATCACTCCCTCTGCCTCCCCTGACACACATAATGCCTACTCTTTTTTTAAATTTATGGGCTCTGTCTAGAGGTATAAAAAGAGATATCAAGGCACCTTGACCGCCTAAAACAGCAGCAGCCATGCACTGGAGAGATGACAACCATGTTGTGTTCAGTATAGGAAGGCAGAGATTTGGGAGGATGTGAGGGTTCTTATTTCTATTTAGGCTTACAAAGCAAAGGAAGGCACAGAATGTCTCTGGTCCATGGGGCTTCCCCTTGGCAGAGGCAGGAGTTTGGCTGCTCCACTTTTTGGTGGTGGGAGTTTCCTCTCTTTCCATATTTTCAGAGGTCATAGCAGGAAGATTTTTTATCAAGAGCTGTTAGCCATACTCCACTATAAACTTTTTTTATCTTAAATATTTTTATTTAAGGAATATAGGAAACCATAATTAAGTATATCCTAAATGGCAGTTCAAACCAAAGTTGTAATGCCATTAATCATATACATATATATATATTTTTATTGGACTCCTGTGATAACTGAGGGAAGTATATTAGACTAGGAAAAGTTAGCAAACTTTTCCAGATAGTAAAAATTTTCAGCTCTGTGTGCCATACAGCTGGAACAACTACTCAGCTCTGCCACTGTATCACAAAACCAGCTGTAGATAATATGTAAATGAATGGATACGATTGTGTTCCAATAAAACTGAACCTACAAAAGCAGGTGGTGGTCTAGATTTGGCCCTCAGTCCATAATTTGCTGGCGCCTGTATTAAACTGTACATTGGAAGAGCAAATCTGTGTAGACCAGAATGACAAGATTCAGGTGTATGATAGAAACAAAAGCTAAAAAGCTGTTCCCGTTTCTCTGACCCACCTGGCTACTGACCTTCTTATTTGCCCCTCCAGTCTAGCTTATAAAGCATCAACACGAATGGGATCTCACCTCTGAATCATATAGTTCTCTCGTATCCTGGGATATTTTTTCTTTAAATGCTTTTCCTTCCTGTCCTTGTTGGTCTATATTTGTGAAGAAAGCTTCTGTTCTGTCAACAAATTATATAATTAGGTATTTCCAATAAGAATTGGAAAGTGTGATTTTCCTTGTACCAACCTCCGTATCAGTAATCCCTCCCTTCCCATACTCTCTTATTGACTTTGCTACTGTACTTGGGATTAGTCTGGGTTGGTTAAGGTAGCATTGATATTAACTTACTTCTCAAGATATGTGATCACGCCCTGACCAGTTTGGCTCATTTGGTTGGGCTTCGTCACACAAAGTGAAAGTTTACCAGTTCGATTTCTGGTCAGGGCACACGCTGGGTTGTGGGTTTGGTCTTAGGTCGGGGCACATACGAGAGGCAACCAATTGCTGTTTCTCTCTCATATTGATGTTCCTCTCCCTTTCTTTCTCCCTCCCTTCCTTGCTCTAAAAAAAATAAAAATTTTTAAAAGATTTGTGATAATGACATTTGTCCCCTGTTTACTTAACATTGTACAATTTCATTTGTTTATTTTAATAAGAGTACTGAAAGTGTGATATCACGTAAACCTTATTTTATTCCTTGCTGAAATTTCATTAAAGAGTTCTGAGATCAAGAAATGCTCAGTAATTTCAATTCATGCCCAACTTTCACATCTTCTATTAAACACCAACGGTCATAATATTTTGCATATAGAATCAAAAGAAATAAAGTAATCTAAAGTGTAGAAAACAGTTGTCAGTTTAAATACAGTGGTTCAGATTTTTGAAATAAACCCTATTAGATAGTAACACATTAATCTAACTCATCATATATAATTGGGATTAAGGAACTACTGAAGTATGACCAGAACTTTCTAAGAAAAATTAAGGTTATTTGACACCCCAACTCCCAAGTACAATGACCATTTTCTTGCAGAATACTGGAACAACCATGATAATAAAATCTCATTTTCTGCTTCTAATAAGAGAAGGAAGAGAACTGTTATAGAGGTATTCTCTATATAAGATCTACCAATTCTTAGTCAATGAAACTTCATTTGTTCTTACCCTCCTTCCCCTGGCCTTAATTTGTTTATCTTGCTGCCCTTCTAGGGTAGGCTGTAGTGGTAAGTCAAAGTGAGAAGCTGACTTTTGTGGCATTAAGGAGGAGACTGTTGCTATGAAAATTCTTAGGGCAGCAGAGACCAATGGTCTGATAGTCTGGGGTTGAGGGGGGGCTGGTAGAGGTGAATAAGCACTGGCTTATTGCCAGATAGCCAGAGGTATGATTATATATTTTTTTCATGTTAAGGATCTCCCTAATGTATATATGTGACTGTATGGATTCACATAAAGATAAAAAGAATAGTGAAGTAGTGTATGAGGGATACCTTCTCTTTGAATTTAGAGGTAATTCAGCAGGGGTTTAAATATTCTCAGGTGTTGGTATGGATAGTGCTCTGAGTTTCTACTACTGACCACTTACTATTACCAGGTCAGCTGTGTGACCTTGCATGAGTCACACAAACTCTCTGGTCTTTACCTTTCTTGCCTGTAAAGTGGCAATAAGAGCATCTGCTTCATAGGGTCCTTGTACAGCACTTAAAACAGTGCCTGGCAAACACTAAGTGCTATTATTATTCTTATGGCTATTATTTGGGCTTTTATTTGTTCTTTGAAGATGATGGGACTTAATAAATATGCAGACTTCTTAACAGTCACTCTGACCTTGGCAAGCTAATTATTATCAAAGCACCAGGTTACTAACAGATACTAAAGGAGGGGAAGTTGTTGTTTATGGATGCTTGAAGCATGTTGTTTATGGATGCATGATTCAGTTGGCTATGAATAAAATTTTTCTACTTTTATGTATTTTATTAATGTTTTCTTTTGATGGATCGTTCCTTTTCTGGGTATGAAGGATGAAACTGTAGTTCGAGTTCCAGGAAAATGCTGCCCACAGTGCTCTTCCCACTCCTGCTCTGCTGCTGGCCAAGTACACAAGGTAACCTTGATGCACCCCGTGCAGGTGTTTTCACACATCTGCCCTCTGTTTTCTAACTACTGTACCTCCTGCCCTGATATCTGACTCTTTACCAGGATTAGTAACTCAGCACATAAACTGCTTTTTTTCCCTTCTACATGGAAAAATTCCCATTTATGAAAAAATTAAACTGGAGGAGATTAGAAATATATAGGAATGTGCTGGCAAGCAGCCCCTGGTTTATGAACATTGGTGAGCTTACTCTTCATACATCTCGAAAGGGAAAAAAGGACTATTGTTGGTTACTCTGTTTATACTTCAGTTGGAGGCTCTGGGAGAGTCTCCTTCCTTTGGTTGGATTTTATGTATTGATAACCAGAGATAATGTCACTTGCCTTATACTGGGGTGGGCATGGGGATGGCAGGTGAGAGGGGATGGGGGTGAGGAGCTCGCGGTAGTGATTCCTGCAAACTTCAAATTACTATTGAGGCAGACTGGATAACTGCTTAGTAGATAATCGGCAACAAATAAAAATCAGTTCAACAAAGAGAATAAGTCAAGGAATATTCTGTTTTAGGAATGCCCAGCAGAGCCAAAAGAAGATTACATTATTCAAAATCAAAGAAAATGTTAAAAATAAACCCAACTATTTCTCTTGCTTGTCAGCCAATGTCTTCCTCAGCTCCAGGCAGCTTATCTTCATACAACCATTGCTAAAGGCTGATGGGAGAGATATTTTCTTCCATGTGGAGGAGAATCATCCTTAACCTCTGCCTCTAACAAACTTCCCCTGGGTCCCCTTGGTTAGGATTGAGACAATGCCATACCCTAGCTGCAAGGGAAGCTAGCAAAATAAATATGTGGCAGAGAGAATTGGGTCATGTGGCAAAGAAGAAGAACTAAAAAAATGACCATTGATTAGCCAACAAGCAGGGTCTTCCTATTCATCTCCTGGGTGCCTGGCATATGGCAGACCCTCAGCACATCTATGGAATGATGAGAATGGAATGAAAACTAATCCAGTTTCCTTTGGACATTCATTTACTTTTTTCTTAGAGTCTGTTGCTACCTAAATGATACTATTTCTCAAGAGTACATTCAATGTGGCTTAATTAAAAATTATAATAAAGGGTCAAGGTGATGGCATAGGTAAACACAGCTTACCTCCTCACACAACCACCTCAAAATTACATCTAAAATATAGAACAACCATCATGGGGAACCATCAGAAATCAGGTTGATTGGAAGTCTGACAACTATGGAATTAAAGAAACCACATCCATCCAGAAGGATAGAGGGGACAGAGACATGAAACAGGCTAGTCCCATATCTACCTGTGGTGGATAAAAATTCAGGAGGGATATCTCAGGAGTGAGGATTCCCAGTCCCATACCAGGCTCCCCAGCCCAGGGTTCCAGTGCCAGGAAGATAAGTTCCTGTAACTTCTGACTGCAAAACCCAGTAGGGATTGAGTTGATGGGAGAAACTTCTGGAATCCCAAGCAGTTCCTCTTAAAGAACCCACACATGGACTTAAAAAGCACCACTGGCATACAGGGAAAGACTAAAGTATCTGACATCAAGGCAAAATCTGGGGAATAGCTTTTTCCCAGACAGAAAGGCAGGCAGAGACCATTGACCCTTTTCTGAACCCTCCACCCACAGAGCCACAAAGCCAGTAGGCTGGTGGCATATCTGAATGAGACTGCATCAACCTGGCCAATACTGTTACCTCACCCTGAAGATTACCTGAGACTCCATTCTACCCAAATTACAGGCCTACACAAGATGCTTTTCCATATGATTGGCTAGTCCTGGATCATGCTTCACAACTTCCTAAATCCTCTCAAACAAGCAGCAGCCAGCTTCGGTGAGCCCCCAGCCCCATATCTCTTATTGAGGGGCCCCAGGCCCAGCACTACCAGCAACCAGTCTAGATTCACAGCTTAGCTTCTCCAGTGAATCTCCAAGCCTAGCACAAGTAGCAGCCTTATCAGATTGCTTTATAGCTCAGGCAGGGTGGTCTTGGGCGAAACACAGGTCGGGGCTGATCTTGGCCTGCACCACCCAGGAAACCCCAGAACCTGCACACCCAGTGGACACATACAGGCCATGTTGGAGCACCACCACCCTGCCCTGCATAGCTGATTCTCCACGGAGGGCAGAGATTGGTGGTCAGTGGTCATAGCTAGTCTTTGCAGCTGCCTGGCCTGGGTAAATCCTTCCCATTGACCTGTCAACAGCAACCAAGGCTCAACTATAAGAGGAGGGTATACCCAGCCCACAGGAAGGGTGCATCTAGAGTACTCAGCTTGGGGGAAAGAGGAGGCTGTGCCACTGGACCCTATAGGACACCTATTACATTAGACCACACTACCAAGACAGGGAGTCATAGCAGTTCTACATAATACATAGAAACAAACACAGGCAGGCTGCCAAAATGAGGCAAAGAAACATGACCCAAATGAAAGAACAGATCAAAACTCCAGAAAAAGAGCTAAACAGAATGGAGATTAGCAATCTATCTGATGCAGAGCTCAAAACACTGGTTATAAGGATGCTCAAGGAACTTGGTGAGGATCTCAGCAGCATAAAAAAGATCCAGTTGGAAACAAAGGATACATTAAAATAAAGAACAATTGACATGGAAACAACAGTAGAGTGAATAAAGCTGAGAATCAAATCAATGATTTGGAAGAGGAAGAGCAAGAAACGGGAAAATCTATTTGAAAAAATAATGAAAGAAAACTCCTGTTATTTGGTGAAGGAAATAGACATACAAGTGCAGAAAGCACAGAGAGACCCAGACAAGATGAAGGCAAAGAAGCCCACTCTAAGACACATCATTATTAAAATGGCAAAGGTTAAAGATAAAGAGAAAATTATAAAAGCAGCAACAGAAAAGTAGTTAGTTACCTACAGGGAAATACCCATAAGACTGTCAGCTGATTTCTCAAAAGAAACTTTGCAGGCAAGAAGGGACTGGCAGGAAATATTCAAAGTCATGAAAAGCAGACACCTACAGCCAAGATTGCTCTACCCAGCAAAGACAGCATTTAGAAAGGGCAGATAAAGAGCTTCCTAGATAAGAAAAAACTAAAGTTGTTCATCATCACTAAAGCATTATTATATGAAATGTTAAAGGGACTTATGTAAGAAAAAGATCAAAACTATGAAGAATAAAATGTCAATAAATACATACCTGTCAACAATTACATCTATAAAGCTAAGCAAACAGAAGAACAGAGACAGAATTATGGATATGAAGATCATTTTGATGGTTGCCAGATGGGAACAGGGTCTGGGAGAATAGGTGAAGAGGTAAACAGATGAAGATATACAAATAGGTAGGTACAGAATAGTCAGGGGGATGTAAGGTACAGTATAGGAAATGGAGTAGCCAAAGAACTTATAGTCATGACCCATGAACATGAACAATGGTGGAGGGATTGCCTGAGGGAGTTGAGGGGTGCTTTGTAGAGGGCAGAAAGGGGAAAAATTGGGACAACTGTAATAGCATAATCAATAAAACATAATATAAAAATTATATTTAAAAGTTGTGTCTTATGTGCCTGTGTTTCTATTTAATATATGTGGCATTTGATTTTCCACTTTTTTCTTTTACCTTCTTTACTCAGCATGGTGATCAGTGGAAAGAAAACGCCTGTACCATGTGTATATGTGACCAGGGTGAGGTCCGGTGCCACCGGCAAGCCTGCCCTCCACTAAGATGTGAAAAGGTACTCACAGTGCATAGCTTGATTTTCAAAGTTTTATTCTGAGTCACTTAAAAGAAATGCGTTTCTTAGTCTAGTGTGTCCTTTGAAGGAATCAAAAGTTTTATAATGTTTAGCATATTAGATAAAGATATGAGAGATCTGCTTCCCTGGAAGGAGGGGTGAGGTGGAGAGAGACTTGCCTCAGCTGAGTTGGCGGGGACAGGGGAAGCAGCAGAGCATGGTGGTGTTTTATGTCCCTCTGCCGCACTGGCTCAGGTGCTCTCCCACTCTCCTGAGCACTACCTTTCACCCACCGTGCTTTCTCTTTCCTCAGGGTCAGAGAAGGGCTCAGCGTCATGGGGAATGCTGTGAGGAATGTGTATCTCCTGCTGGAAGCTGCTCACACAATGGGATTGTTCGGTACCAGGATGAAATGTGGAAGGGCTTGGCCTGTGAGTTCTGCATATGTGACCGTGGCCGAGTGACCTGCCACACTGGAGAGTGTGCCAAAGTGGAGTGTGCTCAGGTAGGAAACAAAGGCGTTTCCACTTGGACCGTAACAGCGCTCTCCAGTGGGATAGGTGGTCTCTTACTTGTTCCTTCCTCCTTGGCAGCAGAGGAGACTGCCAGGTTGATGGCTCACATTTCAAGAAGCCTTCTAGCACAAAGATTCTGTGCTGGAATTTAAATGTCACTATTTGTTCAGACTGGCTTGGAACAGTCCCCCGTATCTTTTAGCTCTCAGTGCATCTGGTCAGATTGGAAGCCCTGAGATAGACACATGAAAGGGAAGGACACGATAAGGGACACTAGCCTATCGTTCGGTGCAGCTGGACCTCATTGCTGGTGGCCTGCCCAGCTGGCTGTGGTTGTGAAACAGAGGCCTGCAGGTGCGCCCGTGGCCCGGCTTCTGTTGCAGGCCACTGGCGGCATTTAAGCAGAAAGGAGAGCCAGCCCCCAGGGGCTGCTCCTACAGATTAGGAAAGAGAATAAAATGGTTTTTTTTCTTTTTGTTTTAAGTTGAGGGGAACTTCAGAAATAATTAGCTCTGTTTGACTTCTGCTGTCTGCTAAATTTCTAGAAGCATCTCACAATGTGGCCTCTGTTTGGACTATAGCATATTATAGGGTTATTGCTTTTATTTTTTCCTCTTTGAACTCAGTTTTTACCCACTGCAAAGCAAACTGCTTTTCAAGTTGTCGCTTTCTGCCCCGCCAGTTTCCCTCAGGGTTGTGAACTTGTGGAGCTGAGGGAAACTTGGGAGATCTGAGGTACTGTGTGTCTGCGAAGCCTTTTTCTTTCTCCATCTTCTTCCCCACATCTCAGCTCCTCTTGACACTGAGCCTAAGGAGGAACAACCTTTCAAACAAGGCTGTCAGTGACAGGGCTATTTTTCATTTTGCCTCCTACTTCTAAGTCCTGGCAGAGCTGAGGCATGTTTAAGTAAAAAGGGTCTTGCTTCTGGCAGATTTATTTTCCCCCATGTGTCTTTTCATTTCTTGTCTTTGTTTATGTCAGGGGAGTCAGAATGGTTGGATGAAGATGAGAAAAATCCTAATCAGGGCCCTTTTCTTTCTCCCTCTCTCTCAGGCTAAGGCTGGGCTTCCTGGCCTCGGCTGTCTGCCCAGAGGATGCTGGGTTATTTTCCGAGGTTTTAATTTGTCTCAGATTTTTGGGTTTATGGAAAATGTGGAAGAGATGATCCTGGTAGGGTGGGTCCTTCAGCCTCCTATTTTTGCAGGTCTGAATGAAGAGTTGCACTCACAGAAAATAATTTGACCCAACGAACCTAAGTGTCAGTGAATTTCCAAGTGATTCCCTGTCCTCTGTGACACCTACCTGAGCCAGCATAGCCAGGTCTTCTTTACTCTTAGGGAAAATGGAGAGCAACTGCTGATGTAAGTGGAGAGAGCCTTGTCGTTCCTCACTCTACCACATACATAGCACTACCTCAACTCCTTCTAGTTCCATGTCCCACCCCTACCTCATCTCTTTTATGAATCAAAGAGCTCTAATGCCTTTAGCTTATTTCTTCAGATCTTTAATCAACCTAATCGCTTTCTTCCAGATTATCTCCATTTTCCTAAATTTTGTTTTGTTTTTAGAGTACAAATAGTTTAATGCATTTAGGAAGATCAGTCCAATTTGCAAAGCCTACAAACGGTTTTTTTTCTTTTTTTCATAGTTACACAACTTTTATTTCTTTTTTATTGAATTTAGTGGGGTGACATTGATTAATAAAATTATATAGTTGCAATTGTACAGTTCTTTAATACATCATCTGCATGTTGTATTGTGTGTTCACCACCCCGAGTCAAATCTTCCATCACCATTTATCCTCCTTTTACCTTCTTCTACCTCCCTTCAGCTCCCTTTCCTCCTGGTATCACCAAACTGTTCTCTGTGTTTATAGGGTGTTTTTCCCCTCTTAATCCATCCATCCATCCATACATTTGTTTATTTATTTATTTATATTGTTGTTCGAGTACAGCTGTCTCCATTTTCCCACCACCATATTCCCCCACCTCACCCACCCCCACCTCCCACCCTCAATCCTATACCTCTTTGGCTTTCTCCATGGGTCCTTTATGCATGTTTCTTGACAACCCCTTTCCCTTCTTTGCCCTGTTGTGTCCCTCTCCTCTCCCCTCTGGTTACTGTCAGGTTGTTCTTCATTTCAATGTTTCTGGTTATATTTTGCTTGCTTGTTTGTTTTCTTGATTAGGTTCCACTTATAAGTGAGATCCTATGGTATTTGTCTTTCACCACCTGGCTTATTTCACTTAGCATAATACTCTCCAGTTCCATCCATGCTGTCACAAAGGATAGGAGCTCCTTCTTTCTTTCTGCTGCGTAGTCTTCCATTGTGTAAATGTACCATATTTAAAAAACTATCCATTTACTGCTGGGCACTTAGGTTGCTTCCAGCACTTGGCTATTGTAAATTGTGCTGCTATGAACATTGAGGTGCATAGGTTCTGTTGAATTGGTGTTTCAGGATTCTTAGGGTATAATCCCAGCAGTGGAATTGCTGGGTCAAAAAGACAGTTCCATTTTTAGTTTTCTGAGGAAATTCCATACTGTTTTCCACAGTGGCTGCACCAGTCTGCATTCCCATCAACAGTGTACTAGGGTTCCCTTTCTCCACAACCTCGCCAGCACTTGTTTTTCGTTGATTTTTTTATGGTGGCCATTCTGGCCTGTGTGAAGGGGTATCTCATTGTGGTTTTAATTTGCATCTCTCTGATGGCTAGTGTTGTAGAGCATCCTTTCATATGTCCCTGGGCCCTCTTTATGTCCTCCTTGGAGAATTGTCTGTTCAGGTCCTTTGCCCATTTTTTAATTGGATTGTTTGTCTTTCTGGAGTAGGATAATGGGAGTTCTTTATATATATTGAGATCAAACCGTTGTCCGAAGTTTCATTGGGAACTTCATATGGGAAAATATATTTTCCCATACAATTGGTTCCCTTTTCATTTTGCTGATGTTTTCTTTAGCAGTGCAGAAGCTTCTTATTTTGATGAGGTCCCACTTGTTTATTCTTTCCTTTACGTCCCTTGCTCTAGGGGATGTGTCGGTGAAAATATTGCTGCATGGAATATCTGAGAGTTTCCTGCCTATGTTTTCCTCTAGCACTTTTATGGTATAGTGACTTATATTTAAGTGTTTTATCATTCTTGAGTTTATTTTTGTGTATGGTGTATGTTGGTGGTCGAGTTTCATTTTTTGGCCTGTAGTTGTCCGGCTCTCCCGACATCATTTGTTGAAGGGGCTATTCACTCCATTTTATGCTTCTGCCCCTTTGTTGCATATTAATTGACCATAGACACATGGGTTTATTTCTGGGCTCTCTATTCTGTTCCATTGATCTATGTGTCTGTTCTTATGCCAGTACCGGACTGTTTTGATTACAGTAGTCTTATAATATAGTTTGGTGTCAGGTATTGTGATCCCTCCTAAATTGTTCTTCTTTCTTGAAATTGCCGAGGCTGTTCAGTGTCATTTATAGTTCCACATAAATTTTTGAAATGTTTGTTCTATATCTGTAAAATAGATCATTCATATTTTAGTAAGGATTGCATTAAATCTATAAATTGCTTTGGGTAGTATGGATATTTTGATGATGTTAATTCTTCCAATCCTTCCATATATGCTTCCATTTCTTTGTGTCTTCCTTAGTTTCTTTCCTCAATGTTGTGTAGTTTTCTTTTTTTAAATTTTTTTATTTATAAATCATGTTTATTCTATTACAGTTGTCTCAGTTTTTACCCCTTTACCCCCCTCCACCCATCTCACCCCCACTCCCTGCTCTTCCAATCAGTTCCCACACTGTTGTCCATGTCCATGGATCATTCATACATGTTCTTTGTCTAGTCCCTTCCCCTTCTTTCCACCATTGTCCTCTTTCCCCATCCCCTCTGGTCATTTTCAGTCTGCTCCATGTTTCCGTGCCTGTGGTTTATTTAGTTGGTTAGTTTATTATGTTGAATAGAGTCCACTTATAGGTGAGATCATATGGTATTTGTCTTTCATCAACTGGCTTATTTCACTTAGCTTAATATCCTCCATTTACATCCATGTTGTTACAAAAGGTAGGAGTTCCATCTCTCTCTCTTTCTTTCTTTCTTTAGTGCAGATTGATTTTATGTATTTTTTAGATGTCAAAGTTAATTACAAAACATTAAAAAAGTTTAAAACCATTATAAAGTCTCAGCAATTAAACCAACATGACATCAGCACAGAACTAATCAAGCAGATCAATGAAATATAATGAGCATTCTAGAGACAAACGTATATATCTGTCTAACGATATAATATATGATTAAGTTGTGTAGTTTTCTGAGTACAGGTCTTTTATCCCCTTGGTTAGGTTTATTCTTAGGTACTTAATTTTTCTTGTTGCTATAGCAAATGGGAATTCTTTCCTGATTTCTATTTCTGGTATTTTGTTGTTGGTATACAAAAATGCCTTCAATTTTTGAATATTGACTTTGTATCCTGCTGCTTTGCCAAATTGACTTATTAGGTCGAATAGTTTTTTGGTGGAGTCCACAGGGTTTTCTATGTACACTATCATGTCATCTGCAAAAAAATGACAGTTTTATTTCCTTCTTTCCAATTTGGGTGCCTTTTATATATTTTTCTTGTCTGATCTCTGTGGCTAGGATTCCAATACTATGTTGAATAGGAATGGTGAAAACAGACATCCTTGTCTTGTTCCTGATCTTAGTGCATTTTCCTAAATTTTGTTTAAGGTGTTGGGTTCTAAACTAGAAACACTATCAGAAGAGAAATTTTAACTAAACTTGAATTTTACAAAGGATATCCCTTAATCTTATTTCTGTGCCATGCTTCTGTAAATAATTACCTTTGTTGATGACCTTGGAAAAGCCTGGGCTTAACTCCACAACTTCTGTTTGCTTGGAGATACAAAGATGAACAAGATTCATTCTGATCTATAAGTTCACAACTTTTGGGGGAAGTTAGGTATGTAAACAGAAATTATAATATGCAGTAGCACCAACAACTATGGAAATGGGAATGAAATGCATGGGGAGCACCTGGAGAAAATGACTGTGCTGGCAAAAGGGAGCAGTAGAAATATGCTACTGATATTTTTGTTCAATTCTTTCCTACTTTCTGCCTTTTCTAAAATATCAAGGTCATTAGATTTCTAATCTTGGATACCAAAGGTGGATAAAATCTAAGTATTTGCACGTTCACAAAGGTGCATAAAAGTAAACACCTAGATGAGGAGGCAAATTGTGCAGCTTCACAATTGTAACAGTTATCACACTGGTTATCAACAGCATTATTCTGGATAGCATTGAAATCAGCACACAATTTTTCTTTAAAAAGGAGAAAATGGTATGGCCCTTGTCTTTGATATATCAATCAAAATCCCTAGACATTAGAACATAACTAAATCAGTGGTAGAATAGCACACTGTGATGATTGTCATTTTCTGTATTTTGTGTTATCTTTGAAGATGAACTCAGATGAAGAAGTCAAATTACCTTTTTTTTAAAAGAGAAAGGACCTAGCATTCATACTGGGTAGGGAAAAAGTAGGTTTACAGTTGTGAGTACTCAAAACAGAGTTTATTCTTGTATTATTATTTATTCATTTTATATTTTTTAATACAAGCATCTATAAACCCACTTTTGCCCCACCCTGTATATGAGGCATAGAATTGTGGGGGGATTGATTGAAGCTTGTAGCAAAATGCGTGGAAGAGGGTCGGCCTGCCTTAACTGTGAGGTGCCTTCACCCTGTCCAGGCAGAGTGTTTCCTTTTCCATTGGGCACATTTGTGGACTCAGAGGCTTTTGTCTTGTCGATGGATAGAGGTGTGATTCAGTGGGGAGGGGTTAGCAGATTTCATCTGGCCTATGCAGCAGAATCCTATTAAAAAGAAAAGAATTAGTTTTGTTTCACAAAGCAATTTTCCTGAAAGCCAAAGTCAAAAGCTAATTGGAGCAAGCTCCCCACTGCAGTGAACTGACATAATTTGGAGCATCCAGGCTTTTTCTATAAATAACAAATCTATTCAGAACTTCCCACCTCACCAAAACTGAACCTTTGCTCCCCAGAAGCCGGCCTTGCTGGTATTTACAGGAGCATCTGAAGACTCAGAACAGCTACTTTGCTTTATCGGGGTGATGATGCAGCCTCCGTTTTCAGTTCTGTCTCTATGTATTATAGCAGGCACTCAAGAATCTCATGCATTTTGTTTTTAGTAGAAGTACCCACTCTGTCTTGTTTCAAAACATTGTTTTAAGCAACCTGGATTACATGCCTATAGACCCCTTTATATGATTTGATAGCAAATTTCACCGTGTTTCTGGGTTATGCCTTCACTACTAGCTCGTTTGTCACGTTCTGCAAAACAATTTATATGTAAATATGTCTGCTCTCCACAGCACCCAGTGCTCTCCACAGGTCTCTGATTGGCATTAGATTTTGATGGAAAGCGATCTGTAGAACTCCCTTCTTTTTGAAATAACTTTTTAAACACTATAAAAAGTTATAATCAATCATGTATTTTTGTGTTTCTTGTAACAGTTTATGCTTTCTTTCATTAAAATAATACATTTTTATTTTAGGAAATTGAAGACAAAAAAAGGTGTAGAGACTTTAAAATCCATTCATAATGCTACAATTCAAAGCAGTCAATGCTATTTTTTTATATTTTTCTTTCATGCTCAGTGTTTTAAACATAAAATATCATTGTGATTATTCTGTTTATGCTATTTTCCATGATTCAATTTTTATCTAACATGGTTTCTGCACTTTAAATGTAATATTTGTCCCAAATTAATGTCTTCACTTAAAGATATATCACTATTCTTTAGAAAATAGCTATATCTTACAAAGCGGAAAGTGCTTTAAAGAATACTCTTTAGCCCATAGATATTAGATGTTAATATGTGTATACAAAAAATTGTAAACAGAGATTGTATTTTCAACCGGAGATCACCTGGGAGGTAGAACTGCAGTGGAATTTTACTTACTAAGTTACAAAATTCAGAATTATTTAATTTTTATAGTAAGCATTTATTATTTTGTAATGAAAGATGGAAGTTTGTTGACAAAAATTGTTGATAAGGCTTTGAAAGTTAAACTAGTGTGGTATTTCTTTCCTTCCTCTTACAATCTTTTAAAATAGTGATTGTTAGATAACAGTTTCAGGATATTGAATAGCCATCAGTGTTCTCCTGTTTAACTTATGCCTGAGACCACGTATCTGCATAAAGGGACAGGGCTGATTTTGTATTCAAGGAAAAATCTTGGTTTTGATTTGAGCGCGATGAATGAAAGCAAATCCCAAGTTCAAACCTTGTATATGTAAGAGAACCTGAGCCTTTCCTGAAACTTATAACTTTCCAAGACTATAACATTAACCTTGACCATTCTTGTTATTCATGTGACCTCCTGGCCGTCATGGGAAAATATGGAGGGATCTAGGCACAGCTATCACCAGAACTGGAAAGAAAAAGCATTTGGATGGGGGGTGCCTAGTGGCTGTACTGACTAGACTTCCCGCAGGAAGACAGAGTAGGGGGAGATGGTATAAGTTGTGGACCAAAGTAAGGGAGAGTGCTCAAAGTTTTTCTTTCCAGTCAGGGAATCCAACTGCTTCAAAATGTAGCACTGCCACCTGGGATGTTAATTTGGTATGTTTCTCTGCAACCCTTACATCTACAGGGTGAAGAATTAATTCACTTAGATGGAAAATGCTGTCCTGAATGCATTTCAAGGAATGGCTATTGTGTTTATGAAAAAAATGCAGAATTTGTGAGTATTGGACTAATAGTTAAAGGCTATTAAGAATAATTCAAAATCATTTTAATAAAGGGTATGACCTTCTCATTCCTTTTACCTATTCATTTATTCAACACATATGATTGTGGACCTACTATGCGACAGGTATGGTGGATACAGACACGGACACAGCAGGCAGATTTCCTCCTCTCATGGAGCTTACATTTTCATGTGGGGACACAGAGGACAAAGTACTCCCTACACAATTAAGCAGCTTCATGGGGCTAGAGGGGATCTGAGTTGGAGGGAGATGCTCTTTTACATAAAGTGATCAGGGAAGTCATCTCATGTAGGTCGAAATTTGAGACAAATTTCTCAGCAAGTGAAGAAAACCTGAAGCGAAAGTGTGCTTGCCGTGTTCGTGAGACAGCAAGCGAGTGAGTATGGCTGAAACCAAGTGACTGAGGGGAGAGGAGCTGGAGACGAGCAGCTCAGCAGTGGCCTGGACGCAGCGATAAAGACGCGTTTTACCCTGCGGCAGATGGCGGCTGCCGGGGGCTCCTGGGCATCTGTCCTGAAGTGCTGTGATCTGGCATACTTATGAAAGGATTGTTTTGGCTGCTACCGGGGCAAGTGACAGAGGGGTTGAGACTGGAAGCAGGTGGTCCAATTTGAAAGGTTTTGTCCTAGTCCAGAGAAAGGGTGATGGCGGCTTGATCTAGGAAAAAAGTGATGAAAATGATCAGGCTCTAGATTTATTTTGCAGAGAGGATTGAAAGAATTCTCATGGATTGGCTGTGCTGTGAAACTAGTTGCTAAGGTTTTATTTCTCCCTATATCTGCACTTTTTTTATTATATTCCCAAAGGAAAAAAAATATTTCCCTTAATCTCTTCAAATTAATTCTATTTATATAGCCCATATTTTCCATATAGGGTCTTGGAATGTTTAATAAATTCACCGTGTTCTTAAAAATATGCCAATTGATCATAAAGACAGCTGCTTCATTGACCAATCAGAATAGGATTGTAAGAGTTAGGATTAAGTACTTTGATTTGTGAACTGATTCCTACACACTTTTTCTTTGTGATTTGGGTGACTTGGCATCTGTCAACCTGCCAGTGTTCTGTATATGCTGAGGAGGCATTATTGTGTAGGGTTAACGTGCAGGCTCTAGGTCGAAATCCCTACTTTGCCACATAGTGTGATCTTGGACGAGTTAGTTAATCCTCAGACATAAAGTAGGGATAAAAATGGTACTACCCTCATGGGTCTATTAAGATGATATGTATAAAGTACTCAGAACAGAGCTTGGCACACACAAAAAAAAGCTTTAAAATGATATTATTATTGTTATTATGCTGTTGGCATTGTTTGATTAATATTGGTATTTCATAATTCAGTCATTCTAGTTTCTTAAGAATTTAAGAGGTTAAAGTTCCCTGTAAATGTGGAATCTGTATTTTCTCAATCGTAGTATTAATTTTCCTGCCCATTGTTGGAGATAAATTAAGCCCAGTGGAATTAAAGTGAAGCAATTTGTTTTAAAATAAGTACAAATCCCCATAATGCTCTTTCTAGTACCAAACAAGATTCAAGAATTTACCCTTACAATCTTAGATCTCTTGACTATGAAGTCCTTCATGTGGAGGGGAAGTGAAGCCAAGTGCTCAAACACAAAGTGAGAATGAGAATTTAAAATATTTTCAGGGCATGTTGTCTTCACCTCCTATTGGTATGCTTCTCTTGTTTTCGATACAGGTAGATTTTATTCCTATTCATAAGTGATCAATGGTGTTTCACGTCACTTGGGGAAAAATGGATAGTTCCTAATGAAAAAATAGATAGATCAGCCTAATGGTGTTTTTAGTGGTATGATAAATACATTTCTCTTTGTTCCTAGATGTCCTCAAATGCAAGTATGGTTAAACTTATTCCAGTAAGTATAGATTTTCAACTTTATATAGTTATTTCTAAAATTATTTTAAGCAATGATCTGCATACCCTGTTCTGGGGAACCGTACAGCCTTCGTGTTTTAACAGTCATGTTTGATGGCCGTGGCCTGGGATTAAGACTCCTAATGATAACTAAGACTTGGATTCATTGAACTTTTCCTCCTTTGTCTAGCTTTTTTTTTTTCTTTCACAATTAGTAATTAATACTTCTCCAGCTAGAAGCCCCTACATAGTCGTTTTCTGTTCTTGTGATGATTTTCTTCTCCTCATATTTTCTGGCCTAAAAGACTCAGTTTAGCTGTTAGTGCAATTTCATGTACTGCAAAGTGTTAAAGAGAGAGCTTTTTTGGGTCTTGAGAGTATTCACTCCCCAGGAAATATCAAGTGTTCATTCTCTCTATGTTTTTTGCAGGACAGTGTTGTATGGTTTCTTTTTAAAAGCATGTTTGTTCACTCAAGCAACCTTGCAGTTTTGGAGGTTATAGAATCTGCTCTGCCCTGAAATGGAAGAAAGCACTTCTGCTTTCTCAAGATAGTATTTTCCATTGTTGCTAAATGCTGTCACATTGTTTGGAATTTTAACGTCAGTTGGCTTAATACGTATTTTATAAAATCTTTATTTAAAAATGTGCTCTTCTATTCTTACCTGTTTTTACCTCCTTCATCACCCCAAAACATTCTGGAAGGAACCTTTGTCTCTTTCCTATATCCTGAGTGAGTGGGATAAGCAAACAAACAAACAAACAAACAAACAATAAGTAAATAGCTCTTTATAATTCATATTGGATTCTCTGTCAAAGTGCTAATGTTTATTACCATAATTTGCTTGGCTGAAAAGAGTAGTTTAGTGTGAGGCAGCCCATGGCACATGTACAGCCCACTAAAAAGGCACCTGCAAAAATGTACACTTTAAGAATACAATGACTCTACTGTCACTCTTAGTGTGGTATCCATAAGGAAATGACGGTTTTAACTATCTTCACACTGTTATTATAAAGATTGTATTTAATGTACCTGCTAATCACCAGGCACGGAGTAAACCCCTCTGGTGGTTTGTGTGTGTGTGTATGTGTGAAACAGGTTGAGAAACAAGTGTTCTATGCTCTGTGCTTATTCTGATAGCCCCACTATGCTTTCACAATTTATCTTTCTGCCTGGGTTCTACATTTAAATAAACCCATTAAACCAAATTAACCCACTAAACCAAAGCAAAGAAGGAAAATAAATCAATTAAACCAAAAGAAAGAAGGAGAAATACTATTGTTTGAAATTTAGGACACTTCTACTACTGTTCTATTTCCAAGTTAGTACTGATCAGGAGCCTTCACGTTGTCCCTTATGGAAATGTGAGGTCTCCATCAGCAAGCTGTTTTCCGAATCTCTGCACCCTGCTAACAACGTCCTCCTTTACTGTCTCACATAGGCGGGGGAGAAGTGGGAGGACGGCCCCTGTAAGGTGTGTGAGTGCCGGGGGGCGCAGGTAACTTGCTACGAGCCCTCTTGCCCACCGTGTCCAGAGGCCACACTAGCCCGGGCGGTGCAGGGACGTTGCTGCCCAGAATGCACATCAGGTGGGTCCGTGTCTACTTTGTTTCTACTTATATATTGTTACTGTCAAAAAATTTAAAGAGGTCCTCTTTCCCTGAGCCTCTTGTTTTCTTTTTTTCAAGCCACCCACTGGATTTGTTGGTTTGTTTATTTCCTCCTTCCTAATGTTTCTAACAAATGCTGTTAATTAACCTTGGTCCAAGTATTTGCCAGATTCCACTAATTATGATTATATGACCTTTGGGCAAGTCACTGACCCTCTCTAAATCTTAATTTTCTTGTCAAAATGTGCCTTATGTACCTCACAAAATTATTGTGCAAAAATCAAATAACGTAATTTCTGAAAATTTATAAAAGCAATTGTGTACATTAGGACTGTTTCCTTTTTGAAGGTACAAAAACAATTGCTGAAGGTTTTGTTATGAATGTCCATTTTTTTAAAGGTGAGGTAATGAACAGATGGTTCCTTTTGCAGTTCTCAGAAGGGTTTTTGAAATTTAATGACTCATTAATTTCTTCTAAAAAATTTTTATCTACTTGTTCTGCAACTCTGCTTTCAAATCACCTGGGGTTGAATTAGTTCCAGTTAATAATTGTTGGCAAACGCTGGAGTTTCTCTGGCTGAGCAATAGTTCGCCTATGAGCTTAGTCTCTTAGAGAAGTGGCATTTTCTTCCATTCACATTTCATAATTAATTGTTTTTACCTGTGGGTTGCAATTTTTCATATTGGCAGTTAGTTGCTCCTTAGCACTCAACTTATTTTGGCTAATCACAGTGTTCCTGGGAAGCAAAGCGTGGTTTAATTACATTACTTTCACCAAAGTGGTTCTCTGGGCTCTCTAAACAAATATTTAGCACATTATAACGTACCATACCTTAGAAATCAGGTTCTTGACAACTTCCAAACCTGAAAGAAGTTCTTTGCTGACAATGCCATTAAATTCAGTGATAATCCCAATTACAGGGAATGAGATTTAAAGTTTAGGAGAAAAAGAAAACCAGCTATATTTTTAAAAAAAGAAAATAATGATTTTCAAAATGGTAGGTTTTATGTCTTAACTTTTTATGCACATCAAAGCTTAAGAACATCTGAAAAGTCATAAATTATTGAATCTGTTTAAATCATGTACAGTGGAGCTGTGGAGCTAGTCATTCCTGTCTTAAGAAGCATTCCGGCAGGCAGAAGCATTGATAGGGCTGGTTTGATAATGTTTTTAGCATCTTCAATTTGAGGCTACAGGAGACAGTGATAGTATTTCACATAAGGAGAGATCCTTGGAAATCTTGCACTGAAATCATTTTTTTTCTATTTGGGATCCTTTTTTTTATACCTAAGTTCCAGAGTTTTCTGTACTTCATATTCTGTACAACTCCATACACCCCAGAGATTCTTTTTTGGAAGGATGTAAGAGAAATAAATCATAGGGTCTTTACTGAATTTTCTTCTTCTTTGTCTTTGATTGCAGTTTATTGCCACCCAGACTGCTTGACCTGCTCACAGTCTCCCGACCACTGTGACCTCTGCCAGGACCCCACCAAGCTGCTGCGCAATGGACGGTGTGTGCACAGCTGTGGCCCAGGCTTTTACCAGGCTGGCGCTCTCTGCTTAGGTATGGCTCCGAGCAGGTCGTCCAGGGCGGACTGCGGCTGACTGTCGTCAAGGAGGGGGTCCTGGATGCAGGAAACGCACTACTTCCAAAACCCATTTTAGCAGATAGTAAAACCACCATGGGCCACCAGGCATCTTTACTTGCAGAGCTCTTTCTTCCCCTATTTTACAAGTATCGCTATGCTTCCTGGGAGGCAGGTGTTGGGGAGGCCAGATGCTTGTTAGGTAGTCATGGCTGGATTTTTCATTTTTGAAGACCTTTCAGGATAATAATATCAGGATACTTGGTGTCATTTATTAAAATACTTAGCAAATCTAAGATAAAACTTTAGAATTGACATGGACCTTACGAGAACGTCCTCATTTTGCAATTGTGGAACACGTGGGACGGAGAATTAATTGGCTTTCTCAACATCACACAGGTAACTGGTAGCAGAGGTTTTCCCTTGTGGTTTCCTACTAGAGGATCCAGGATGGGTGCATGTACATTTTAGAATTCTTCCTCATGTGAAAAGGAGAACTTACCTGGGAAAATTTGGCATGGTTGACGCCAAATCATAGTTACTTTTTTTCTGTCTCTGGCTTATAGGGTTCACTATGAATTTAAGAGGGTATAGGTTCATACCTGGCTGTGAGTATTTAACCTCTCTTTTACAGTATTCTCATCTCTAAAGTAGTGTAACTGGTACCTTCCTCAAAGTGTTCTTGTAAAGATTAAATGTGCCAATACACATCAAGTGTCTAGAATACTATCTAGGATATAGTCAGGGATGAAAAAAGGTTAACTGCTTTTATTTTACAATTATTCACTTCTACTTTCTTTCCTGATTCATAAACTTCAGACTATTTGAAAGTTATTTATATCTCTGCCATGGGTTGTGGAGAAAAAGAGGCAAGGGATATTTCTGTAAAATGGTTGAGTGAGAAAGATACTGGGGGTGAATGGATAAGAAGAAAACGACACAGACCTCTGAATCAAAATAGCCTGGCTTCAAATGCTAGCTTCATGTGACCTTGGGCCCGCTCCTTAACCTCTGTGAGTTTGTTCCTCATCTGTAAAATTGGGATTAATAATATCTACCCCATAGGGTTGTCGTGAAGGTAAAATGTATTCATATATGTAAAGCACTTTGTACAGTGCCTGGCATGAAATATATGCCGTGGAGATGAAGGCTAAGTTATGTTCTTGCCTTTCTTGTTCTCTGTGACCCCAGAGCCTCTGAGCTGGGCTATGTAGGAATCGGCTCTGGGCTGGTGTCTTGGAGCTAATCAGAGCTTCCTTTTCTTTCTCCTAACCTTGTCCGGAGCCAGCCTGCCAGCCCCAGTGCTCCACGTGTGCCCACGGGCTCGAGTGCTCCTCCTGCCGGCCTCCTCTGCTGATGCGGCACGGCCAGTGTGTATCTGCCTGCGGGGATGGCTTCTACCAGGACCACCACTCCTGTGCAGGTAATCTCTGGCCAGACCAACAGCTGGTTGGGCCACTGAGAAAGAAAGCCACTCCCTACTCCTAAGCCATCTGGGGTCTCCAGGAGCTGTGAGCAACTGGATGAGAGAGATGACACGTGTTGTTTTCGTAACCTTTTTAGTGCTTTAATGATGGGCAGTTGTGATATAATTTCGTTAAGCCCTTCTGCACACATCTTGGGGTGCTGGGACAGTATTTGTTTAACCCTGTACTTTTGGTTCAGAATTGTCATTATATAGTAAGTTTGACTTTTTGTAGTATCAATACGTAGGGCTTAAATGAAAATAAAGGGCCAATAAGGGTCCAACTTTATTTCTATCTAAAAAGAGATGGAGAAACAGAAATGAGAAATTGACATCACAATAATGAAGTTGGACCAAAAAATAGGCATTTAAATTGGTTCTTACACTACTATCTATGTATTTTGTTAGCTTTATATGTCTACTTTTATTTTAAATTAAGATCTAGTTGAAATTCTCATATTGTAACAGTCTCTGGAGGTGGAAAGTCTTTATCTAATTTAATTTGTTGTTTATACTTGATCTTTTTCAATACTGATTCTAATCATGGGTATAAATAAAAATAGTAAATATATAAAGAAATGTTTAAGTGAAGAAATGGGAGAAAGGGGTAATGGTGAAAGCAAACACAGGGCAGAGTCCTAATAAGTTCATCTTCTAGAGGAGACAGGGAATCAGATGTGTCCAGAAGCTAAGGCAGGTGTGCAGTAGCAGGTGAACCTCAAAAGGCAGACAGGCCAGCGGGAGCATCTAGGGTGTCCTGTCAAACATTGTCATAGTTGTGCTCTGCAGCTGAAGAGGAGATGGGCAGATCCATGATGAGAATCTGAAGGTGGACCAGGCCGAGGGTCAGCAGATATGCTCCTCTCTTTCATGCCCATGGTAGATTTTCAGGAAAATAATTTGAAGGGAAAATATTAAAAGAGAGTAAGTGCACAGTATTCTTTAGTTGTGCAGACCGAATAAGCTCCAAGGCCACATGAAGGTCCCACGTGGAGGAGGCTGCTGGCCCCCTCATTCCTTGCCATGGTCAGAAGCACAGTTTATGGTACTGTGGATTCCATCTTAAAAGAAAACACTAGTGCTGTCTATGCATGCAGATATGAGGATAATGGGGCCAGTCACATTATAGAATATGAAGGACAAAGATTTCAATAGAAGTTTCAGCCATGAAAGAGAAAAGGACCCTTGATGTTTATTACTTGTCATGTTCTATTTACCTGTTATTTTAGAATAGGTTCAGAATGGGCACATACAAACAGCTTTGTAAGTGTCTAATGGTTGGGCAATTTCCGTAAACTGCTGAAACTTCAATTTGATGAAATTATTGAATGTATTCTTTACTCCTTTCTTCTATCCCATCAAAGAGGCCTCCTACTAGCACTCCTGTGACAGATTTGCCTTTAAAAGAGAATTAATTTCCTTTAGATTTTATTCTTCACTCCGTATCGCTTCCACTCCCTGCCACATGTCCATCATACATATTTTCTTTTCTATTTCTTTCCAGTTTCTTTTGGGGGGAGCATTTTCCTTTCTCCCATGCCCAGTGTTTTAATTGGTGATGTTAATGCTGTTTTAGGGCACGTTAAAATGGGTAATGTTTCATTTGATTATTGGTTTACATAGCTGACTGCCTCCACCTTCCATTCACACACCCATACTCAAATGCCTCTAGCAGAGAGTTGCTGGGTAAATTTCTTTATGTTCCTTCCAGGGAATTAAACCAATTTGCTTTAGTTCAGCCTGGTTGCATTTTTATGCACAACATGAGAAAAAAAGAGAGAGCAAGAGGAGAGAGAGAAAAGCAGAGAGTGAGAGTGGTCTTAAAAATTAAAGCTAAACTTGTGTTCAATTTCTATGTACCGTTTGGATGCTGAGGCTACTAATGTTTCTTTTTTAAATTGAATTGATTGCGGTGACATTCATTTGCAAAACCATGCAGATTTCAGGTGTACAACTCAATAAAACATCATCTGCACACCGCATCATGCGCCCATTACCCCAAGCAAAATCTCTTTCTGTCCCCATTTTTCCCTGCTTTTCCCACCTTCACCCCTCTTTGCCTCTGGCTATCACCATGCTGTTCTATGTGATACTTTTTCTTTTCCGCTTAATCCCTTTTCGTTATTGGAATTTTTCCCAGTATTTCTGCTTGTGTCGTTTTTGGTGACTTTTCACCATCGACCTTGGAAGTCAATCAGTCAGCCAGTGCTCTTCCAGTATGTGTTAAACGTTTCCAAAAGAAGCCTGCCATTCCGTGGTAACAACAGGTTTTTCCTGGATTCATTCCTCTTGGCAGGGTCATTTGTGTTATGACTGGCATAATTCTCCATTTTATTGACCCATCAAAACCAAAAGAAAGTGAACATTGTGCTGAGGAAACTAATTACCAGAAATTACCTGATTAATATTCATGCTAAGTGTGTTGGACACAGGCAAAGTGAAAAACACGGGGCAGAGCCAAGTGGCACATTAATGTGGCTCTTCGACAAAAGAGTTCAAGTCGGTAAAAGAAAGGGGAGTGGAAGAAGACAGGCGTCCTGCCAGAGAGGCACATCCTCAGGCGCCCTTTTCATTTTCCCTTTTCCTTGGTCTTGTGGCATGCGCACACATACACGCATACCATATGCATACAGACCTGGACATATGTATGCGTGTATTAATATTATTGTCATATTCTTGTGCTTGACTAAACTGAATAATGTGCTTGAACAAGCAACGGTGTACATATAGACCACATTATACACCCCACACCAGTCCCAGCTTCATCTCCCCTGCCTCCCCCAACCTTGGAGTTTGATGCTTTATCACTTTAATGCTCAGCACCACCCAGTTTTTCTACCAGTCTCAGTCAGAGACAGGTAATATGTAAGTTTCCTCTTTTCCACAGCTGGTAGGGCCAAGTTGTAATCACTCCCTTCGGAGCCAAATCTCTGGCATTCAGGCTTCTGCCATAACCTCTTGATTTCCTTTGCTGCCAGCTGGGATCTGGTCTGACATCCCTGTTGCCCACCCTGTCACACCCTTCTTGACACCATGGATATCTGGTCCTAGGACTGGACCTCTATTTTGCTTCTTGCCACCTTGTCCTGTTGTGACCCATTTTCAGGAATTAATAGCAATCCCATCTCATAATCATTCCCAGCCTGACAGTCAGGCCTGATGCATGTATGGATGCTCCTCACCCCACCCCGACCCCTCACCACACCACATAACCTTGCACCCTTCTTGCATGGCTCGTGGGTACCACTTTTCCTGAATGTATTGTATTCTCTCTATCAGAGTGTTGGTCCCATTGGCTCTTCTTAGAAATTTAGATATTAAATCTAAACCTGGATCCAGACGGAGCGCGCCATATCCTCAGGACAGTCTTCCTTGCTTGTCTTACTCCTCTTTTTAATCAAGCTCTGTTCCACTCTGGTGGGACCATCGAATTGTGCACCCAAATCCTAGATATAAGAGCCCATAAGAAGAAAAGGAAAAACAACCAAACTAACATACACCATGCGAGATTAGTTTAAAATGAGCAACTCAGAAGACTATAGACTATGAGTAGGGAAAGAGCAGAATTTAACCCATTTTTCCATGTGCATTAGTGTGTTTTCACTACTTAAGACTTCCACTATTCACAAAGGCCTAAGGCTGGATTTGTGTGTACCCCATGGCAGGTGGTGCCCTAGTTCTGCAGACCCTGAGATGGGAGGGACGGACTGCAACATGGTGCCGAAGACCGCAGGCTCTGGAGCCAACCGGCCTGGATTCCAGCCTTGGTTCTGTCACTTGCAACAGCACATTCTTTAGTTCTATGCTTCAATTGCCTTTTGGGTAAAGCAGAAATAATAACATCTGCCACATAGTATTGTTACTGGGATTAAATGAGTAAATTCACACATGTCCTTTATAGGATGGAGCCTGGTACCTAGTAAGCCCTGCATATATGTTAGGAGACTTGGATTTCTGCTTTCCACTACTCCTCTGTTCCTTTTCTCACATTCCTCTGTCTATTCTTTTTTGACCACTACTCTAGGTCCTGAGGATATGAAGATAAATAAGACTCTATCTTTGCCTATAATGAGCTTTAGTCAAGGCAGAGTGAGCTGCTGCTTACAGAGACGCACACATACACACAAAGTATAAACACAAAGACCTATGCAGTTTATTCTATATCTGATGGCTGTGCCGTCTTAGATTTTAAGACTTAAAGAATCAATGTTTGAACTCTATCACTTTTTGCTATGGGGTTTGAAGCAAGTTGTTTAATCTCTTTGAGCCTCAATTTCCTCAACTATAAAATGGGGATAATATTATCTATTTCAAACCACTATTATGGAGTAGAAACGATGTTTGAAAATGTAAATATATTATGCCTTGCACTTAGTATAAGTCTGTCAAAAGACAGCTTTTGTCATTATCGTATTTGTTTCTTTATTCTTCATTTTATGGGAATGAAAACTGAATAGCCTGCATTAAAAAACAAAGAGTCATGCCATTAGTGTCTCATCTAAAATAAAATCTACTTTTATATGTTATGGAGAAGTAAATATAATACAGAGAACAGTTTACTGTATTCATCACAACAAGTTAAAACCCTTTTGTTTTCTTTAAATGCTCAGATTAAATGATGAGAAACTGTAATTATTTGTTTCTCAGCCAATATTATGGTATATTTAGAGGGAAAATATATAAGAAAACCCATAAAATTTACATACAGGATGCTGACCTAGCTGAGACTTAAAAGCTATGGTTTGAACAGAGGCACTTCTAAAGTTAATTATTTGTTGGAACTATAGTGGACAAGCACAGCCCAGTCACTTGAAATGAAGCACTAACCCCTCGGGGCCAGGTCCAGAGCCACGAAGACCTAATAGACCTTGGCATTATGTTCTAGTCTGTGGCTTAGCCCAGTCTAGCCGAGCCTGGGCAAGACTTCTAGGCAAAGGCATATGTGAGGCTGTTTTTCT